CCTTATTTTTTACCCGCTGTATTTTGCAAGGAGCCCTGGTGGAATAGTGTTCACACGTTAAACTGCCATCGGAGAGGTCAGTAGTTCAAAATCAGCCGCCGCTTGTTGAAAGAAAGGTGGGGCTTTCTACTCCCGTAAAGAGTCACAGTTTCGGACACCCGCAGGGGCAGCTCTCCCCTGCGCTAGAGGGTCCCTGTGAGCTAGCATCGCCTCGGCCGCCACGGCGGGGTCAGTGAGTGCATATGGGAATGCGTTTCATGCAAGGGGGCCCTGGTGGCATCATGGTTATGTGTTGGGCTGCTGACCAAAAGGTCAGTGAGTCCAAACCACCAGCAGCTCCTCAGGAGGAAGATGGAGCTAGGAGGAAAACGAGGCTTTCTACTCCCATAAAGAGCTGCAGTCTCAGGCACCCACAGGGGCAGTTCCACCCTGTCCTATGGGGTCCCTGTGCGTCAGCAATGACTCGATGGCAGAGAGGTGGGTCTTTTGTTTGTTTCGATGACTGTCTCGGGCTGGCCCAGAGCACACGTCTGAGACCAGGAAGGTGACTCCCCACACCCAAGACCACACAGCCCGAAGGAGCAGAGCTCCAACTCGTCCTTGCTCAGGAACAAATTAGTCAGCTCCCGAGCCCCATCTCACTCACTCTTGGACACTCTCCAGGGCTGGGTCTGTGCTCCCCCAGGGGAAGGACCCCACAGCTCACTGGTCTCCTGACAGCACCCCAGCCACACAGGGGTGGCTGCCAGCAGCCACTTTGGTGTCCCCTGACACATACTGACCGCATGCCCAACTGAACAACACACTGCCCAGACCTGCGCCCTCCCCATGGTCAGTTCCAGACAGGAAGGTTCTGCTCCATTGGCTCATTTTTTGGAAGTGGGTCCAAGGCCTTTCTTCCTCATCCCTCTTAACCTAAAAGCTCTGCAAAAATGTGCTCAGCCGGGATCATGAGGGCAGGGGGATGGCCCCTCTGAAGAGGGTGAATAACAGAAATGTGGGGAAGGGAGACAATGG